ATATATATATATATAAATTATAAGTTATCAATCAAGCAACAACTATCTACACATTGCATCAAAACCACACACCAAAATGAAATAGTCAACTCTAGCACAACCACTCCTCAAGTAAGCCCTCTAATTTAATAATATCATACTCCCATAATAATATGATCATCACGGTTCAACAACAAGAAAAATGTAAAGGTAAGCTTGTAATTAAGAAAACAATATAGTATAGAAGCAATAATTGATTAAACTTTTCTTGGTTTGCGAAAAACAAAATATTCGATTATTTCTGTCAAAAAATTTTGTATATCATTTTTCACAATCATAACTTGAAAAACTTGAATATTTGTGATACTACTTTTGAAATACTATCTAAAAAATGATTCTCTTTACAAGAAGAGGTTTGATAACGTATCTAGAAACCTCAAGAAAGAATTCAAAAATTGAATTGATCATCATCATCTTCATAGAGATATAGGCTAAGCTATACTATTTGATTTACTTCTCTGAATTGTTTTATACATCAGGTGAATTCGCTTTTAAATTTCTCTGTAACTATTTTTCTTAAATAGGGTTCTTAAGAAAAGAAAATCTTCAATACTCAAGTGACAAGTCACTAGGCTCCACGAACCATGAGATTTGATACCATTATTGGGAACAAAAAATCTCCTTTTCTTTTTTTTTTTACACACAATAATGATGTGAAACACATTAAAACAATACCATAAAAGAAATAAAAAAAAATATTACACAAATTTATTTAACATGGTTTGACTCATCATATCTACATCCACAAAGATGTTCATTATCTATCAAAATATATTACAAATATATTTGAAAATCCTCCTTTAAATTTTGTGGGTGAAACTTGATAACCCCCTTCCTCAAGTTTAATGAGTAAAACTTGAAAATTCCTCTCTCACAAGTTTTATGAGTGAAACTTGAAAATTTCTCACAAGTTTTCCAGTGAAACTTGGAAAGCCTCCCTCACAAGTTTTCTAGGAAAACTTAACAATCGTCCACCAATTTTCTGGTGAAATTTGAAAACATTTTTTCACAAGTCCTCTTTTATATGACATTCTCTCTCATTTAAAGCAATAACCTCCTTTACAAGTTGGGTGTTTCATCTTATTTCAATAATATTTATTTATTAACCTTACATCTTAATTTTAAAAGAGAAAACAAATATTTAAAATAAATATAATAAATTTCAATTATAAATAATATCTTAAATTAATCAATATCTTTTAAAATTTAAAAAATAACTCATAAATTTAAATTTAAAATTTTGAATTATTTTTTCAACATTTATATGAACTATGATAAATATATAAGTATATCTTAAAAAAAAAAAACTATAAAAAAGTCACTATCATTTTCCAATTCGCACAGTAAGCTTTCTTAACTAGCCAAATGCTCCTTCAATTGACACGATTTTCTCTTCTTTTTTTTTTTTTTAAGTAAAGCCA